ATCTATGGGTTCATATTTTTCTTGATTTATATTGAAGATCTTTAATGGATATTTCTGCAACGAATCGGACAGGGACTGTTTTACCAAGTGACGAACTTCAAAGGTATATAAATATATAATTAGCCGTTACTTTTCATGATATCAGTTCGTATATGCTTTGACAGTCTTTTATATCTTCTAAATTGATTATACGCTAATACTGGATACATGTCACCGGATAATATTTATTTTCTTTATAAAATGTAAAAATTAAAAGTTGTGGTATGACTGTCAATGAGACAACTCTCCATCAGAGACCACACGACGTAGAAGTTAGCACATATAGGTAGCTGTATGGCCTTCAACAATGCGTAAACCCATACCGCAAAGCACACTTTAAAAGACCCGGACATGATAAAAATATAAAACCATTCAAACAAGCAAACTGTCTAATTGAATGATAGTAGTATGCTTAAGTCTAAAGGCAAGTATTTCAGGCATATCAAGTACAAAACTCTAAAATAAATAAATTATATACGTAGCTTCTGCAAAGATGGTCGACTCGAATGAATTGCGGAATTTTCACAGCACTAAGGGTATAATGCTGGGTCTTCTAAGTGCTCTACGAAACCTCTTTTAAAATTATTAAAAGAAATTTTATCAGCAGTCAAATCCAGGCTACAGAGTTATTGTGAAACTACCTATTCTAGATCTAGAGATGGCGTGATACTAAAGAATTCAAAAGTTCGGAAGTAGTACATACAATCGAAGACTCTTTCATCGTGCAATAGTATTAAAACATTTGACTTTTCTACCCTTTACACAAGTATTCCTCACTCCAAACTAAAAGACAAATTGAAAGAATTGGTCCCGCATTGATTCATAAAAAAAAGGATTGGCTAACGTAGATACAAGTACCTTGACTTAAGGGGAACAAATCGTACTCTGTAAAAAAAACATTGTGATTAAAAAAAATAAATCTCTGAAACTGGCATTTTCAAGATGCTTGATTTGTTGATTGACAACATATTATTTTATATTTGGAGGTGGTGTTTTTCAACAAACAATCAGCATCCCATGGAATACAAATGTGTTCCTCTTCTTGTCGTTTTCTTCCTTTATTCATATGAAGTTGAATTCACACAGGAGCTTCTTAAGAAGAACAAAAAAGAAGCTAGCATTATCCTTCAACTTCATTTTTTCGCTATATAAATAATGTCTTCTCACTATATAATTCAAAGTTTGGTGACTATGTTGAACTTATCTATCTCATTGAATTTGAAATTACAGTTAAGTCTGCCTCATATCTTGACTTACATCTAGACATTTCAATGAGGGTCGGTTGAGAACAAAACTTTAAGACAAAAGAAATCATTTCAGCTTTCAATTTCAATATAATGTAGCAGCGCCTGCATATGGAGTATATATCTCCCAGTTGATGCGATATTCCAGGAATTGCATTTCCTATCATGATTTTCTTGATAGAGGGTTGTTGCTCACAAGTAAGCTATTAAACCAAGAGTTCTAAGTGTTGAAGATGAAATTATCCCCTTAAAACTCAAAACTTTCACGGACACCATCACGAGTTAGTTGACCGTTATGGAATATCTGATTAACTGATGACAACGGATATGTTCCAATTGTCGGAACCGCAATCCCTTTCTCTTTTCCTTGAATGTCACCTACCTAATTAATTTATCGCCGGGTTTGAACTTACATGAGTTACACGACGTGTGACACATGTGTAGCAGGATCTGCTTATCCCTCCGAAGTACCGGAGATCACCCCCGGTTTTTGTTGGGGTTCGTGTTGCTCAGTCTTTACTTTTTTTTTTGGTGTACAGTTCTTTGTCTTTTGGTCTTTTTCGCTTTTTGACATTGCGTTGTCAGTTTATTTTCGACTTATGAAAGTCCCTTTGGTATCTTTTGCCTTTCATTGGAATGAGACAGAAAGTTTACCTTGCAACAGACCACGTACGGACCCCGACATGACAAACAGCTACCCTTTTTTAGCACAGGGTTAATTGCCGTAAGTCCAAAGAAACACCATATGCTTAAACCTTTGGCTTTTACTTGCAGATATTCAAGTGATAAAATTTACATTACTTTAATATATTTATTTGGTTTTTGTCTTATAAAAAGACAATTGTTCAATTATTTTCAGGATTCCTCAATTAAATGTTATTCTAACTGATGAATCATGCGACTCCTTCAGATGGTTTTTTTTTTTTTTTGGGGGGGGGGGGGGGGGGGGGGTTACCTACGCTTGTATCTTTTTAATGGATTTAAGAGATTTGAACTTCTGTAAACTTCTGTTGCCTTTAATATGTATTTCATGTACGTGTTTTATTTCATATCTTTCAATGTTGTATTGGTACCACCTCTGTTGGTGGACTGCAAGACAACAGGATTAAAACATGCGCAGTAGTTAGTGTTTCTAACCAAGATATTAATTTTATATTGATACTTGAGAAAAATTTAGCTGACAAGAAATATAAACTCTAAAGTTATCATCCTGACGTAATGTGCTTTTTTGTTGATGTGGTTCATAAGTGTTTCTCGTTTTTTATATAGATTAGACCGTTGGTTTTCCCGTTTGAATGGTTTTACACTAGTTTTTTTTGGGGCCCTTTATAGCTTGCTGTTCGGTGTGAGCCAAGGCTCCGTGTTGAAGACCGTACTTTGACCTATAGTGGTTTACTTTTATAAATTTTGACTTGGATGGAGAGTTGTCTCATTGGCACTCATACCACATCTTCTTATATCTATTTTATTCTGATACTCTTTCCTTTCATTTCTGCAGTCATATTTGTATTATTTTTTTTGTTTCATTACTTTAAATGGTTAATACTTTTTGACTTCCAATAAATGATAGCGAGAACATCTGACTAAAAAAACGTTTTCGAAATGCACACTACGTGCATTTAGTATTTTTTTTTACTCTAATAATACAATTAAATGAATATTTGTCAGGTAAAAGTGTAAAGTTCATTTAGGAATCAATATCAACTTTATACAAGTACAGTTTTTATGCTAAAATGCACTCTCAAGTTGATATCCTTCTGAGTTTTATAATATCATTTCAGGATTGTTTTACAAAATATGGAAGCTATTCAAGCGCTATTTTTACAACAAATTACATCAACTGTTGAATCAAAAGAGTCGTCTTTCTCAGCATCACAGATTGCTTTGGTCATATTAGCTGTCGTTATACTTATCGGAGGCATTCTTGCAACTATGTTTATATTCAAAACAAGGAAAAGGTAACTCTCATTCAAATTCACCTATATTCATAATCTGAAGATTTAGAATTTTTTACGTGGTTTTAGAATTGTTTGTTAAAACGATTTTCAAACTGAACACTGTAAATGCAAGATTTTCATATGAAATGCTAAGGCAAAATATGAAAACCTTGGTAAAACCAAAAACAAAAACCACGTTGAAAGAACAAATTTAAAACAACTATTCTAATTTCATTTTTTTTTACAAAATAATTTAAGGTAGTAATTATTTATCAATTTATTATTTCGCTTGTGTGTTTGCCTTTGTCGGTGAATAGTAAAAACTAAAAAAAAAATATGTAAAACATAAGCGCTTTTTATAATACTTTCCCCTTTTGGAATTTGACTTGGAGTTCGGTATTTTTGTTATACATTTTTGTCTCGCCTGCGACGAAAGTCGCAGTATGCGAGACATAGGTATTACTATTCGGCGGCGGCGACGTCAACTATTTGTATAAAGCTTTCTATTTTCAGTAGACCTGGATGCTACATACCTTCTATGCAGATACCTTATTTTATGAAGTTTTCGTCTGTCATATGCCCATTGTCCTTGACCTTTTTTTCATGGTTCAGCGACTGCTTGAAAAAAAAATTACAGTTTTTTTGTCATGTGAATTTCTCACTTATTATGAGTAATAGGTTAACTATATTTGGTATATTGGTTCCTTTCAACATCTACATGTCCTTCAAACAGGGATAACCTGATCTCGACCTCAATTCATGGATCAGTGATCAAGATTAAAGTTACGTGATTAGGTCCGTTTCTCAGATACTACAAACAGCAGGTCAACTATATGTGGTGTATGGAATGATAGGTACATGTCAGACTGGTAGGTTTCATCTGACCTTGACCTTATTTTCATGGTTTATTGGTCATTGTTAATTTTTTGTGTTTTGGTCTGTTTTTCAAGTAGTGTAATCAATAGGTCAACTATATTTGGTGTTTAGAATGTTTGTAAGGGGTACATGTCAGACTGGCAGGTTTCATCTGATCTTGACCTCATTTTCTTGGTTCATTGGTCATTGCTAATTTTGTGTATTTTGGTCTATTTTTCAAGTACTGTAAGCAATAGGTCAACTATATTTGGTGTATGGAATGATTGTTAGTTGAACATGTCTGTCTAGCTGGTGTCATCTGACCTTGACCTCATTTTCATGGTTCATTGGTCAATGTTAAGTTTTTGTGTTTTGGTTTATTTTTCAAGTACTTTAAGCAATAGTCAACTATATTTGGTTTATGGAATGATTGTAAGGTGTACATATCTGTCTAGCCGGTGTCATCTGACATTGACCTCATTTTCATGGTTCATTGGTCAATGTTAAGTTTTTGCGTTTTGGTCTGTTTTTCAATTACCATAGCAATATGTCAACTATAATTAGTGTATGGAATGATTGTAAGGTGAACATGTCTGTCTAGCCAGTATCATCTGACCTTGACCTCGTTTTCATGTTAACGTTTAGTTTTTGTGTTTTGGACTATTTTTTGATAACCATAAGCAATGGGTCAACTATATTTGGTGTATGGAATAATTGTAAGGTGTACATGTCTGTGTGACAGTTTTTATCTGACCTTGACGTCATTGTCATGGATCTTTAAAAATGTTAAGTTTATGTGATACTTTACTCAGACTTTCAACATAAAATCAATGGTCAGTAAAACAGGCAAGACATTTCAGCGTGTGCACTCTTGTTATAAAGTGTTATGTATTTTAGAGATTAATGACCTACATTTATTATTTAGATCATTGGATCAAATATCAGTCTCGTCTGTTAATGAGGAAAAAGAACCTATAGACGAGCAGAAAAGTCATGTAGCTGATCGTATTTCTACACAGTCGATAGAAGTAACAGTTGAACTTGGAGAGGAACGAGAAAAAACATCAGACTATGACGGTTCTCAAAATAGCAATGAACAGGCAATTTCAGAATCAAACGCATTGGGAAGTATTAATCCAGCATTTCAGAACGATAACGAAACCATCGACATGACTGAAATAAACGCTTTGTCAACAACTGATGAGGCGGAACGTCAGCTTAGTCAGTTAAATGATTTGTTGAACATGGAGGAAAATAAAGCACCAGCTTCAGACTACCATATCGTAGATACAGTAACAGACAGCAAAGATGTTCAGAATCTTGATGATGAAAATGCGCAACATGTTTCTAATGGCACCGGGCCAGGTTTATATCCTCCAAAAGCAGATTACATCGATATCAATAAGATCAAATCTGAAAATGAGCAATTGAATGAAAATGAATATCTTACCGTCAATGAAGAGGTTAAAGATACATTGAATGAAAGTTCAGGTTTTCCACAAGCTGAATATAAAAACAGTGAAAATGAAATACCTATAGAAGAAAATAATGACCAAGTACTTGATCAAGAGTCGGGTGAGTTTATAATGTCTCTTGATAAAACTGAAGACCAAGACATAGACTACAATACAGCAAAGGTCGAGCATATTGATGAAAATAGTGTTGATGTTCTAGACGAAGAACCAGACATTGATTATAATGAGAAACAGGTACGTTTTTCTACAGTTGTATTGGACAGTGAAGAGAACAAATTTGAGCCTTTAAAAACTGATGTTGACGATCAAAATGACGTCTTATCGAATGAAAACGAAACTCCTGAAGATTCAGTAGACGGAGAAGAACAGACGACTGAAATTGAAACAATCAATAATGTAATGGATATAAATCAAGATGATACTAGTTTGCTTCTTGTCGAAGAAGAAACTACAGCTTTCTAAAGAATGGTTTATAACAGTTCTAACTTTCCAAAGAACAAATCCTCTATCATGATTGGAGAAGTTTGATTAATATTTCTTAGGTTTTTTTTAGTGTTGTTATTAAACAGATTTTGTGAATTCCTCAAACTATTGATGCATAATTTCTATTGTACATATTTATATTGCTGAGTTTAGTTTAAGAAAAACAATAATGGTGTTCCAATGTGTTGACAAGTGGTTTTGTCTTTCTTTACTTCATTTATATATATATAGACGTGTAGATAAAATCTTTTTTTGTTTAATCTCTTTTAACTACTGCTCTGAAGCATTTTTAGAAATAAAATGTATTTTATGTTTTGAGAGTTGCATGTAAAGAAATAAAAAAACATCCTTTTTCTTTGTTTTTAGCTAGTGACAAAACAAAAAAGTAAGATAGTTCTGAAGTTTTCATTTATAAAACTTGATACAATTCATCCAAAAAATATCATTAAAAAAAATCTGCCAAATAATTGCACGATTCCTGGTTTTTCATATGCTTTATTGTGATTCTCAAACAGTGAATGTATTTACAATGTATGTGAAATGCTTATGTGTTCTGTATTAAGATGGATTAAACATACTAGAATGATAAACCTCCAGGTAAATTGGTCCAAATTTAGTATATTGTTTTAATACTTCTGTTAAAAACAAACATCTTAAGTGCATTGTAACACAAGAAAAATGTCAAAGATTATCATTAATGAGTACATACATTTTCCCTTACGGTGTTGAGACCAATCATGGCAAACGAGATAAAATAAACAAACTGAAGTTAAGCTCCCCACACACAAGTGAAATTGAAACATAAAGAGATTTGTTTATATTATTTTAACAAACACAGATACAGTTTTGAACGTAATTCCCTATCAAAATTGTACGGTTGCCAGCCAGTGGTCTCCTCAATAACCGTGAGATAAGGTGTGTATATTCAATGGAAAGATAAACACTGAGGCATAAATGATTTCCGTCATTGTAACATTTCTATATGGAATAATTATGAAGGGATTGTATTTCATCAGTTACTAAAAGGTATTTGTATTTATTTGTAAAGTTTATTGTATTTGGTGATGGAAAAACAATTAATGTTCGTTTCCTTCCAAAAATCAAGTTTGTATGCATAATATGTAATCAGCATTATTTTTGTTTTTGTTAAAAGTAAATTAATAATTCCAAAAACACTGCATTCATTTTGCAATTAACCATCAAACATTATTGTTTTATGTTGAAAACATAGAATATAAAATAAATGACATGAGATTTATTGTATACACACAGACTATTCTCTGACGTCTTTTTCCTATGAACTAAAACATTTCAATTTACAGCGCATACGGATTACAATAACATTTAAACAGTACGTAATTTACAGTAACCTTTCTCGGCCGTTTCAGGCGTTGTCTGAGTCTGTTGCTTTGATAAGTTTAGTAAGAGTGTCCGTGTTTTTGTTAGACATGATTCATATTTTTTTTCTGTTTAATTTGTTAAAATTTTAGACTCGGAACGATTTAGAACTGGACATGTTTTAAATATTTCTGTCTTTTGTTGAAGACTTTGTGTCCTTTATTTAAGCTGTCATTTGGTTGTTTGTGTTATTGATTGCTTTTTTATTAACGTATATCTGACATATCCTTTTATTCAAAACCGTCATAAGAAATCACAGGCTGGACATCTATAGTAACACATACAAACCATCCCACAGTGCTTCAGTTTAAAACCAGTTATATGTACATTGTATGGTTAGTGATTACAGCTTTGCTTGATTTTTAATTGCTTGTGTGATTCATGACCTTTTATCCCCCACTCTAGGAGTGTCAGGCACCCGTTTCCGGTTTGCCATTAGTTTGTTTTTATGCTCCCGCCGCAAGGCGAAGAGGGTATTAAGTGTAACCCTTGACCTTCTGTCTTTCCAATCGTCCCATTTTCGTTTGAAAAGCAGGGGGCATTCGTGTCCTCAGACACATTCTTCTTTAATTTACTATGTTGAATGAAATTAATATATAATTTTGTCACGCTTTTCTCTAGTACTACTAAACAGAATGTCTTCATACATGGTCTGTAGCATGTCTGATAATTTGGAAAGTGTAAACGCTTTTCGGATCTGTCAGACATCTTTCTTTTTATTTGTCGATAATTTGAATTACGACTGAGAGAATCCTTATCACGACAACTGTTGCAACTTCCGGTGTTTTAGGCATCCTATTAATACCAAAATTCAGACTGATACATTAAACAGTGTCTATTCTATTGCACCGGATGCTCAGTGCGACGTATATATTCCCCGTCAGTGAAAAAGAGAAAGGTAGCACAAATGAGCTGAAACAACAAAAAAGACAACACGAAGAGACGTATTTACTCTATACAATCCTTTATATATGTGTTTTCTTTCGAAAATAGTTGAAAAAAGGTGTGGGCTAAAGCGATTAATTGTTGGACCCATGTTAATATTACAAATGTAAGTTAATTTTCAAATTTAAGAAATAAAACTTAATAGAATAATGATATCTAGCTAGTAGATAAATTTGAATACTATTGAAGGTCATACTTTCGATCATCAGGTGGTATGATTGTGTTTAGGGTAAAGGTGAGATATAGACACTTTTAAGTCATTTGAATAGAACATTTTAATAAGCATAGACGTTTTCATTTTGCCTTCTTTTAATAATTCGGGTGAGATATTGCATGCAATCGCAGAGTTGAAACAGAGGGCATTTGATAAGGTCCATCATATGTTTTTTTTTCAATTGCAAGAAACTATACATTCTACAATTCTTTCAGAATTATCTTAATTTACTTGTAATAGATGAATTAATTTGATAAGTAAAAAAAACGAATAAGACTGGACAATGGAGTGCAGGATTGTCACTTGCTACGTCCTGTGACGTCATAAACATGTTATTATTAATTATTTTTGTTGTTTTTTCATTATATAACTGACATAATTTTGACACACAATGACATTTGACATCGAGAGCTTTGTAAAATAACGAGCTAGATATTAGCAACAGCCTGAACAAAAAAGATACCTTAATCGTTTTAATACAAGTATATCGTACTGTAAAATATTGTTTGTAAGATAGTTGCTCGTATTCGAATACTAATTGAAACATCTGAAAATGTTAAAACTTGTTTTTCGGTTTTTGTACTTTTCCCGAAAATGCATGAAGAAAAAAATTCGAAGCAAAACTGTAAAACATATTATTAATACATGCACCGATAATGTCTTGTGATGATCTTCTGAAATATAGTATTTACTTAACTTTTTTAAGTCTATTTCAGTGAACCAAAGCAGTGTCTTATCATACCTTCTCTTTCATATATTCTTTACAAATGATCTGTTATTTCTAAAATGTAAAAAAGATAACCAAAATGAGAATCAAATCTCACAAGTCGAAGAGAAACCTACTAAAACATGGCAATATACGAAAAACGACGAAAAGACAAACAAAGGTCTATAAAACACTTCGTGCTTAAAACAAAACTAAAGACTGAGCAACACAAATCCCAGCACAAACCAGAGATGATTTCATGTGCTCCATAAGAGTTAGCAGATTATAATACATCTTTTCTCCTCCTATATATCAAACTTCATTACGTTTTATCTCAGTATTAGAAATTCAACTGTTTTTTATCTGCTTCTGAGGAGCTTAATAACAAACCATTGTAATGACCATGAAATAACACCAATATAACCCGATAAATGAGATAGTCAATGTACATATGAGTTTTATGTAGTTCACATTATATGAAACAGGTTAGCTGATATAAGGCACTCACTCGCCTAACAGCTTAATATTGAACTTGTTCGTAGGTATTTTGTGATATCAATGTGCATTAAACCTAATTATTGGAACAGGTTGACACTTGAATCATATTATTAATTGGAATCTTTACAATATGGGTATTTACTTAGGAAATTGGGTCTATGTTTTGCCCCGTCGAATACAAATATCATTATGCACACAAAGTTTATAATGTTTCTTTATGATGTTGTAATCAATAAATGTCTACGTCTGTTCAGGTGTCGTTCAGTGGCACATTTTGACATAAATTCGGGGTAAAAGGGCAGACAACTTGAATTGTGATTTGGAAAGGGGGTTAGTTGAAAAGGGGCACAAATTAAACCTTACATTAGGCAACCTACAGACGCCTTGGAGATTTTTTTAACAAGGTTTTGTTAACTTGACATTCTCCCGATACGAACCATCAAGTTAAACATCCATGTAACGGACGTGAATGCAGATTAATACACCTCGTACAGCCTTCAGAATATGTCTTACTGCCAGACGAAGAAATTCTTCTTCCAACTGCAATTTTTGCAAATACCCCTCCTGAACATAAAATTGAGAATGGAAATGGGGAATATGTCAAAGAGACAACAACCCGACCAAAGAGCAGACAACAGCCGAAGGCCACCAATGGGTCTTCAATGCAGCGAGAAAATCCCGCACCCGGAGGTGGTCCTCAGCAGGCCCCTAAATGAAATTGTGTGCTAGTTCAGTGAAAATTGACGTCACACTAAACTCCAAAACATATTAATGAACTAAAATTAAAAAACATACAAGACTAACAAAGGCCAGAGCCTCCTGACTTTGGACAGGCGCAAAAATGCGGCGGGGTTAAACATGTTTTGTGAGATCTCAACCCTCCCCCTATACCTCTAGTCAATGTAGAAAAAAGAAACATATAGCAATACGCACAGTAAAACTCAGTTTAAAAGAAGTCCGAGTCCGATGTCAGAATAGGTAACAAAAGAA